AATTCAGTTATTTAATTAACAAAAGTTATTAATAGTTATTTTTTCAGTTTTGCATAGGTCGAAAACTCAACCGTTTCTGAGATATAAACATTACAGGCTTCTACATGCGATATTCTCCCTTGATCTCCCGATTTTTATCCATGGACATTTTTTATGGGGATATTTGAAAAGTATAAGTATAATGTATTCCTCGCCAATAAATGACTTAGAAGAATTACGTGACCGAATCCAGCGTGCTTGTCAAATAATTCGACAGAGACCTGAAATTTGCGAGAGAATTCGCGACTCTGTAAGAAGAAGATGCCAAGCGTATATGGAAATGGAAGGACATGTGGAACACCTTCTGTAAATATCGACATAATAATTTAGACAGATTATCTTCTTTTCACGTTGCATGCGACATAGAAGCCAGTAAGTCAATCATATGATGCTAACATAAAAAAAATGTTTATATCTTTAGCTCGTGGAAAAATGAGCGACAACTGTGACAATTAATAAAGCAAATATACACTGACAAAAAAATTTTTTTAAGCTATAAAGCAGATAGGTTTACATAAAATTATTTTTTTATTGAAGTAAATATTTATTCTATTTAAATAAAAATATCAAATTTCAAGTAAATCTATGTATTATATTAAGTAAATTAATTTAAATCATTACATTTTCTACATTCAAATAAAGATTTCATGAGATATAGAATACTATTTATTAAATTAAATAATTGTTTTTGTTAAATAAGAAATTCAATTTTCTTCGCTGTGAAAATTATATCTTAGTAAACATTTTATAGAATTAAAATAACATTTTTTAAATTTAAAATTATCTATTCTTTGATATTTAATAAATAGGTACTTAAATTAAAGCAATGCATGTTTTAATTTATTATTTTTTAAATTTAAGTCAATAAGCTTATCAGGAGCTACTTAATGAATAATTTTCTTGAGTAAGGTAATATTTTTTTATTAAGATTTTTTTTTATTATTGTAGCAATGGAGAAACACGCGCGACTACTCACGCGCACGTCAAACGTCCTGATCTCGTATTTATATCGGCCGCTTTGCGGCGACGGTGGCGCGTCGTCATGGACGGCCCGACTCGCCGAGGATCTGCCTCGGAGTGTCAGCTGGACCGTCGACCGGCACAGCGCGGCCACGACGCAGAGCAGCAGTAATATACGTCGACACATGATACGAACACGTGCAAGTCCGCGTTCTCACTGGTTCTCTTCTCACACCAGAGATGCACACTTTAATTCTCTGCCAGGAAGCTGAGCGCGTGGAGGGGATAGGGTGGGGATAGCGCTTGGTTAAAGCAGAGAGAAACCTGAGGGTGGCGTCCCATGGAGCGGAATACGCGGAAGCGGAATCAGCGGATCGCCAATCGCAAGATTATTCTGATAGAGCCCTTTCAAAAATTCCGTCGAAACGGTCTTGTGATTGGCGATCCGCTGATTCCGCTTCCGCGTATTCCGCTCCATGGGACTCCACCCTGAGAGCGGCCACGCCGGCGCGCAGTCATAAGAATTAATCGACTGTAATTGGTTAATTCAGTCAGACCCATAAGAATTGACAAATCATAGTCGATTATTCTTCCGACTACACGACCCGCGACTCGCATTGTAGACCCCGCATTAGGCCGGTTTTACATTGACCGTATCGTAGCGTCGCAAGAGTCGTGGACTGGTTCTAATTCAACGCTGATTGGTCGAATCTATGATTTGCGACGTTCCAGAGATATCGGGCTCCAAAAATTCCCAAGATGTAAGCGATGAAGCCGTCTAGACAAACACCTTTGTTTGGAATGGAATGGAACCTTTGGAGCCCGATATCTCTGGAATATTAAATAGGTGCACTCTGAAACAGACATATCTGTAATCAGCTTGACGTGACCTTTCGTTTGTTACTTTGCGACCAAAAACGAAGACGAAAAAAATGAGGGCATTTGCCTATAAGACACTTGTTCTCACACTTTTCTCAATTTTAATCTGATCTTTGATTGGCCTATTAACACAACTTTGTTAATTTTCTTTCTGTTTTATGAAGCTGATCTCGGCTTGGCTTCAGACAGAACTAAATTGTTAACCGCTCCATCGTGCAATCCACGCGATTAAATCGCATTGTACGATTTTATTTCTTAACGAGTGTGTAGTATCGCGCGAAAAAGCGTACTTTTCTTACGTGTTCGCGAGTGTTGATGGAGTCTCATGGGAGGAGAGGACAACCTGAGTGGAGGAGCAGGCATAATGGCATCAGACATTTGCGGAGCAAAAGAATCAACGTAGCTAACTCCGCTGCTGCACATCAAGTCGGTGAGTGAGAAGTTTTAATACTGAGAATCGAATATAATTAAAATTAATATACCGCGAAGTAAAATATTTTCTGTATATACATAGATGTTTTCTGTGTATACACTTGAATTTTGAATTAAAAAAATCGAGTCACGAAGTGAATATCCAGAACAGTGTGTGCCACAAATTTTGCCGGCAAAAAGTATAAAAGTTTGATACAAAACTTAACACATTTAATTATACTACAAAGTACTAGTAGAAATAAAGTATAACAATAAAATGGGATGATTAATGATAAAAAATCAAATTTTAATAAACTTGCTATACAGTCTAACATAACTTGTCCGCAATATTTTATATTTAGTAGTTATATACGTATAATTTATATTTCACATTTTACTTTTTATTCCATTGTCGTATGTAAGTTTCACGATAAGAGCATACATACTCAGCGTAGACATCTGCGGGATGCGAAACGAAGAAGATTGGTTTTTGGTTCGTGTCGCTACGTCGATTTTTCGCCGAGTTATAGCGTTTTAAAAATCGGGCGCGCGCGCACCATTCATTCGAGAAGGCCGCGCGAGTTTTACGCGAGTAGTACGCGAGCTTACTACGTCTCCAAAAAACTAGCATAAAAACATACGAGGCACAGGTGTTCAGTAGTAAACATCGCCGCGCCAGATGCCGCGCGAGACGCCGCGTATACGCGTCGTCTGCTGCTTCTGAATGAGGATTAAGATGGCGAGTCGATATAATCGTCAATACTTCGCACAGAAAAATCGTAGCAAGATGATTTTGATCTCGTTGGAAAGCTAAGATTTCAGCGCTTCTAACGAGATAAGAATCGCTTATCTCGGATCATTAGTTTATGAGACATCATCGATTAACTGTGAAAATGAAATTGATTTTGTCCCGAGATCGAGATCACGTGTCAATATAATCATCAACATCTTGGCACAGAAAAATCCTACCAAGATGATCTTGGTCTCGTTGGAAAGCTAAGATTTCAGCGCTTCTAACAAGATAAGAATCGCTTATCTCGGATCATTAGTTTACGAGATATAATTAATTAATTCTGAAAATATTAATTTTCTTCAACAATTGGCATCACAAGTCGATATAATCGTCAGTATCTTCGCACAGAAAACGAGAGTTATTAACATTTATCAATCGCGTTTAATTAATTGTCGCGATCCGTAATCTTATCGTTCATTTCTGCGGCGATTTGTCGAGAAGAATATCACACGTAATTTGAAGTAGAAGTGCCATAAGGGAATTACATATCTAAATTATTAGTTAGGTTCGATATCGAACCTAATATATATCCACGAGCGCTAATACCTTTTTTAACGATCGAACTCGGATGAATCTCTCTCACGTCGTGCATTAAATAGCAAATCTAATTTATGTTCACTCAATATTCATTTTTCTAAATACACATATGTAATTGCACGGTTTTTTGTCGATAATCCCCTCCTCGAGTACTACCTTGTCGTGGTGGAGGGGCTTAAGTACCCCGAAGAGTTACTCTCTAAAAATCAATCAGTGCATTATCAATGAATCAGTGAATATTCACTGTTTTCAGTGATAATCCATTGATTGATTTTAAAGAGTATAGATAGTCGAGTAACTTCCATATTAACAGTTAACCAGAAAATGATAAACCAGGCCTCCCTTACGGAAAAGCACCGAAATAATTATTAGAAAATTACTGTACATCAGTAATTTCTGATAGTTCAATTACTGATATACAGTAATTTTCTAATAATTATTTCGTTACTTTTTCGTAAGGGCTAACACTCTCTGAAAGTTAATCGGTGGATTATTACTGAAAATAACGATTCACTGTTTTCAATGATAATCCACCGATTGACTTTTAGAGAGCACATTTATTAATTGATTCTGTTCATTTCAGCGCGAACTTTCGAGGACTGACGAATAATTTCGCTATTATTTCGCCAGTTTAAACGAATCGCAACCGCGCGCGGCGATTCGTCGTGTCGCGTCGCGTTCGGGAGTGCCGTTTAAATTGTGTAATTGGACTAAAGACTTTCAAAGTGTAAAATCGCGCGAACGATCTTTGTGTTTCCGCGAGTGTGCAAGAAGACAACCTGAGGAGGAGGCCTGGGGAAGGCATCAGGCACCGGCGGAGCAACTTTAGGGTAAATATTTTTTCTTTTGTATAAAATTAATCTTTCTCCCGTTTATCAAGCTCTGTCTAGCTATATTATGTCTATGGTCATTTGTTTTGCGCCGATCCTTTCTGCGCATCCGCCATTATCTTGGTGTGGCCAATGGGACGGATGTTGTGGTAGTGTGACAGTGTTAAAGGATTTCCCACGCCAAAGAAATGGTGGAATACCACATGATCGAAACCGAAAAAATCAAAGGGCCGACAGAAGGTGGGCATACTAGTTATATTATGTTCAAAGCACAGATTTTTTTATTTATTCTATTATCTATTCTCTATTCTCTTAATCTATTAATCTATTATCTGTACTCAAAGCATGTTATCTCTAAAGTTTGTACAACTGCTTCAGCCAAACGAGCAGTCTAATATATTATACGTCTATGGTTGACGCTCGCTGATTTCCGTTACCGTTCGTCATAAGAGTGTCTGGCGTGGTCTGGCGATGTAGCGTCGCATTGTGACTTGATACTTGTGCTTTTATTTAATGAATTTTCTTATTTTATTATATCTCTTATTTTATTTTACTTAAAAGCTTCATTCGCCATAGATTCAAAAGATTTGAGTGAATACCACCTCGTTATCGATCTTCATAGCCAACCTTTTGATCGGACGCCTCAGTTACACATTGAAACTGTGAACGAGACGAATAAAGTGGTCATCTATTATACACGGCAGATCTTGAGAAACGTGTTTTGTCAATACTGTTGTATTTTCCGAAGTCACATTCTAATATTATAATATTCACATTCAAGATTGATAACACATAATCTTGTGGAAATTGTATGATGTTTGTTGTATAGTTACAAGATATTCGGAATAATGTTTAATCTCTTAACCATCACTGTATTTTCACTAATCCTCTCACTTCCCGCGCTCGCACAAAACGTCCTACATGGGAAACAAGCCCACGAGTGTCCCCAGCTTTGGATACAATTTCAAGAATCATGTTATCGTTTTATCAAGAGCCCACTAAGGTTACGAGAAGACGCACGCAGACATTGCCAAGCGTTCCAAAGTGACTTGGTTACCATTAATTCAGTTGAGGAGCATGGATTTATACTGCTCCATCAATTGTGGCAGAATCTGCAACATCACAAATGGTACACTGGAATAAAACTCCAGGGTGGCTTATGGATCAACGAGGCCGATAGTACAACACTGACAAGCATAGATAACGCCTTTCTATCTGAGCTCAATGACGATGGACTGGAAAGAAATTACTTAGCGTATTCCTATTCCAATAATTCCCACCGTTGGGGACTAGAAAAAGTCACTGGCAAAGACAAGTTGTTGTACATTTGTGAAGCACCTATCGCCACTCTTCACAATTTGGTGGACAATAATCGCACTTATGAATATGGCGTTGATATTCAGAACCCCCTTCAAATACCGAGAGGACCTTATTTCATAAAGCAACCCACGAACAAGGTATTTCATTTGTCACAAGGACGCAACGCTGTTTCGCTAAATTGTTTGGCAGAAGGCTATCCTACTCCTACTTATGAATGGTTTAAAGAAGATTACAAACACGACAGACTTATTGCAACAAAAATAGATCCTCTTTCAAATAGCAGATATACCGTGAGCGGTGGAAGTTTAATCATTTATGAGCCGAATCAGGTAAAATTCTCTTTAGTTTCTTCTTCAAATATATTGTATCAGAAAATATTATTTTAAAAACTTATATTGAACTAACTAGAAGGTATCCCATTTTTAATAACCCAGGCAAATATTTCAAAAAGTACAAAAGATATGAAAAGACATTTCAGAGGAAAGTTGTTTGGGTCGAACATAGTATAACTAGTATAGGTCTACTCTTTGTGGGCACCTATGAGCTTTGCGGTCTTGATCACGTATGTAGTATTCTGTCATGTCTTTGGGGAAAATCCAGTAGCGCATGTCTGTGTACGTACATACGCGCATATGTGTGTGTATTCATCAAATTACACTATCCCATATTCAACTTTTCTCTCATTAGTTGCACCAACAAAATGTCGGATGCGCAGAATCCGTCGTCAAATTCTTTGTTGATGCAGCAATAAGCATTTACGGTTTACCTTTACGAGTATGAGATCATGGCTACAAAAATCTTCTTGTAATCGTTTCAATGAATACAATTCGCAGTGCACATACATAGGGGAAGTCGCATAACTGACAAATCCGTCCATAATCAAAGAATTGAAAGATTGTGGGTTGATGTCTTCAAAGAAGTGTGCAATTTTGTTTATAATGAATTATGCTCTTTAGAAAATCAAGGTTTATTAGATGTTGAAAATATTAAGCGCAGGTGTTGCGTGCAATATGTTTACAAACCTGTCATAAATAAAAAGTTTTATCATTTTCATCTGCATGGAACGTGCATAATCTGAGAATAGAAACTCCACGGCAACTATGGCTGGAGGAAATATTAGAAAATTATAATACAACTTCCACTACAGTAAGCGATATTTTTGATACTGGTAATATGACTTTATACAAACGACTTTCTGAATCCCTGCAAGCATTAGGAGTCGATCTTTCAGTTTTTCCTGTTACAACAAGATAGTAATAATATAAATTTCCCTTCTTCATCTTTTACTGCGTTATTTTAAGTGACAAACAGAAATTACATACAATTTTCCATTACATGGAAAATATTGTTAATGCGGTTGGAAAGTCTAATACAGGAAAATATATACTATGTATAAATGTATTAAGTTCTTAATGTGTTAATTGTCCGATTTCTAGATTAGTGCTGCATCGTGCATTCATTTCCTAATATAAAATCCACGAAAAATGTATCTCGGCAGTCAAACTCTTTACCGTGTTTTAAATAAGTGCTGTATTATGTAATTTGGCATAAATAAATAAACAATTTATATACAATATATTGTCAATTATAAATGACAGTCCAAACAAATGCAAAATGAGTAGAAAATACTGACACGTATCTGTAAGGATTAATATAACTACTTAAATAATGTGAAGTTACACTCCAATAAAGAACACGTTAGACAAAAATAAAATAACATTAAAAATTTTTAGCGTAACTCCGACTATATCGGCTATGGTGTTATTATAGAATACTACAAACAAAATAAATCGCACAAAAATTGCGATAAAAGAACAGACGTCCCTCGATCAGTCGTATGTCTGAATCGTCACTTCAAATTAAAATCAATATTATCTCAAGATGTTGTATGGAACATTTGATTGGCTACGGAGTTATCTAAAGATGATCTTAAAACGATCTTGAATATAAGATCTGACTGTGAATACCGTTCTAAGAATCACATGATTTTAACTTCTTAACGTTGTTGGTTCATATACCTATGTAATACTAGCTATATTACTAGCATCGTATCCATAGATATAATATATCTAGACCGAGCGTTTGCCTTTATTTGAGCAGTGGGGGTAGAGGTTCACGTAGAAAAAGACAAACTCTGTTTTGTACTATTTCGTTCTCTCTTGCTTACATGCGAACGAAAGAGAACGAAATAGTACAAAATTGCTCAATGCTCGGTCTAGTTATATTATGTCAATGATCGTATTTTTCCCGTGAAAGGAGCGAGCGAAAACGGTGCGACGATACTCTTCTCTCTGTCGCGCAATTACTGCACTGGCATGTTTGCGCATGCGTTGGAAATTGTCTAATCAAATGCAAAATAGGAAAATATTATAATACATTATTATTCTAAGCAAAATATAAAAACGTAATTAAATAATTAAATATATTTTTTCTTATATCCTGCAACATGCACAAATTTTAGATTACATGGCAATTTTCAACGCATGCGTGTAGTACAGTGACCTAGTTTACACCGAGTGTTTGATACGCGTATCAAATAGTAAATAACTAGTAAATGGCTTTAGTCATTGGCGGATCGGCTGAAATACACTATTTGATACGCGTATCAAATGATCGGTGAGAACTAAACTAGCAAGATTATGCGACAGAAAGAAGAGTATTGTCTGCACCGTGATGTTTGCGCTCGCTTTCGCCCGTCGCTAGCAATGTAGTAGTATACATACATATTAGACTAATATTACATTTGTTGTATGACAAATTTTTCAAGCGTACTGGTTGGCTGCTGAATAGAAAATTTCTAGATACTCGAGAATTTTACTGTCTTGCAACCAACCAACACACTTAAAAAATTTGTCGCACGGCAAATATAATATAGACTTACACATAGGGTTTGGTTGCGCGTTCCGCAATTCCGCTGCATGAGTTTGCACCCTGATATAGTCACAGTCGCCACCAGTAAAGCCAGTGTCACATTAAATATTGCAGACGCGGATCGGATTAAAATTGCAAATCTCGAGTCGGAATTCAGCGAAAGCGGGAAGCACACACTTTGGTATAAGAGCATAAGCATATGCATAAAAAAATGGATTGGTCCACAAGCGAATGCATAAGGAAATGAACCAATCAAAATTCTTTTGCATATGCTTATGCACTTATACAAAAGTGTGTGCTCCCCGCTTTAATCACGGACTTTACGGCAGGAGTCGGTCCATGAATGACTATTGTTTCCATCGAGGATCAAAGTCGGGCTAGAGTCGTGTCAGAATCGGGTCGGAATGAGCGCTTCGGTGGAAACACCAAATTCAAACCTGAACCCTATCTTATACGTCCACGTAAAGGACAAAACATAATAAAAATTTTTGATTTCTCTTTATAACTTAAATCACAATATTTCTATGAATTAAGATTATGTTGAAACATAATAAAAATTTGGAATTATTTTTATCCCAGGTAGCCAGCTGACGTCACTTGTCGTTATTTTTAAAGCTTTAACATTAGAATGAATATTTCTCATGTTGTTAAAAAGTAAAACGGCATACTATTATAGTGTCGCAGTCACCGACTGGCTGGCATTGTTATCGACTTCCCAGTATCACTTCTCAGATAATGAAATTGAATTTTGGAAAGAGTCCGAATCCGAGTATATCGTCTACTTGCTTTGGAGTGTATTTTGAAATCGGCTTGGGGTCCACACCCACATGCGTGTATATTACATTAATGTGTAATAAAATATAAATTTATATTGATATTATGTAACTGTTACCTTGGTGTTTGCCGGGTATGACCTGTCTTATACTTTCCGAGTTGTAAGACTTGAAGTTTCCCAGATAGCACACATAGCTCTATGAATATTCTTCTAGAGTGCAAATATTTTTAATTTCAGAATATTCCACAATCGAATATTCTATAAATATATATAGATTATTATAATTAAAAATCGTATTTTCATAACAAAGAAGAACGTTTTTAGAATATTCGTCGAGAATATCTTTGGAATATTCGTTCACAATAATTTTTTAATATTCATCGAATTTATGTATTGCACATTGTTTATTGTGTAATACACATATCTTATGTAAAAGGCAGTGAAACCTGTAATCATACAATATATAATCTCGACACGCTAAATTCGATAGATTATTCTATTCACATTCGAAAAAGGTTTATAGTAGTGCCAGTCGAATGTTCCACGAACATAAGATAAATATATATAAGAATGATCTATGGAATATTTCAAATATTTTTGAAGAATATTCTTAAAATGTTCATAGAACTGTCTTGTGCTATCTGGGTTACGGTACCACCGGAATTAACATCCAAGATGTATGGAGACCGTGCATGGACTGTTGCACGGTCCGACTTACATTCCTATTGTGTCTGTGTGCATATAACACAGGTATAAATTCAACCTCTATTTGCCTAGGTCATGTAAAATGGGATATCCTGTATATGTGTTAATGAATATCGATCCATTTTATTTTATTATTTATTGCTTACAGTTACAAGACCGTAGTTCGTATCATTGCAAGGCAACCAACAAGTTTGGTACGATTATATCTGAGAGCGTTGATCTGTCATTTGGATACATCTTGGAGTTTAATTTAAGACGTTCTGAGGAGCGCGGAGATAATCATTGGGGCAAAGCAGTTTACTGCGATCCGCCAGAGCATTTTCCCGGAGTTAAATATTATTGGGCTCGCACTGACTTCCCCACTTTTGTTGAAGAGGATAAACGTGTATTTGTCTCTCGTGATGGAGCACTTTACTTCTCCGCATTGGAAATAATCGATCAAGGAAACTATTCATGCAATGTTCAGAGCATCACGTCCGATAGCGGACGTAACGGGCCGTTCTTCCCATTAAGAGTGAACATGCACTGTAATTTGAGTCGTCTTTTAAGCATTTAACGAAAAGAAGAAGACAGAATGCCAAGTAACTTTCTTAATTTTTCAGCCTCCTTCCAGCAGTTAAAATTCCCTAATAATTTTCCAAAAGTATTTCCGGAAGCACCAATAGCTGGAGAAGACGTTCGATTGGAATGCATCGCATTTGGATAGTAAGTTTACTCGCAATACTTGGTTTACATACCTTTTACGAGGGTTGCCTTTTATATTTTGCGAATAATAATGAAAGAACAGTAATTTATCATTGAAAATGGCTTTATTGTTTTTCAAAATATTCTCCATGAAGATCAATACACTTTTGCATGCGTTTGAACCAGTTTTCGAAGCACTTTTGCCACTCAGAAGTGGGTACCTCCAAAACATGTATTTTGAACGCATCAACGGCTTCTTCGGGTGTCTTAAAATGTTGCCCACGCAATTTATTTTTAATGTGAGGGAATAAATAGAAGTCATTGGGTGCCAAGTCAGGACTGTAAGGCGGATGACCCATTAATTCGATGTTTTGAGTGCTTAAAAAGTCTTTCGTGGCAGCTGATGTGTGAGAGCTCGCATTGTCGTGGCGGAGGATCCAACGCGAAC